GTAACAGCAGATCATTTAGTGACTATCAAAGTATCCCGTATTGTCAAGTGCCAGAGCAGTGGCAAATTTAGGAATTGATTTAGAGGGCGAAGTGTTGATTCCAGGCTTCATATTCAGAAAGTTATTTATCGAAGTGACAACTTGGTCGCAAATATTCGTAATCATGTGTCTCTACACCAACGCACATATGTTCTGTTTTTTTTAAATGTATCCTCATATCCCAGTGTTTTAATCTTATCTTTGATAACACTCTAATCATATTAGCAAATTTCCCCGGAATAATTGTAAAGTCTGGTTTTATTGATGCCAGTTGTTCAAGGGGGTATTTAAAACACGGATCCATAAAATGGGTATACCAATTTTTGTGGGAAAACTTTTTATTTGTCTACAAAGAATAAGAAAACGCTTTATTGGGATACAATCGAGAGTGTTGACAGTTCATATAAGATTTTTAGATATGTATGAGACCTACAAAATGAGACCACACGTGAAAAGATCCGACTAATAGCAAAAATGTTATGGTTGAAAAACAAGGCCAAAAGCAGGTTTTGGCACACAACATATATATTTTTAAATATTAATAATTCTATGCGTAAGAGGGGTTCACATCCGTTGTTTAAGTTTTGAGTGCTGCATTATAGCTCATGAAATTTCGTAACCTTCTGATCGCTTTGTGTCTCAATCGAATGAAATCGTAAGGGTTACTGAAAAAACAGCAGAATTACAAACCTTGAACTATTTGTGTCGTCTGCACACGTTTAAATATATAGATTCCTTAGTATCTCTTTAGGTTGCTTTTTTGAATGCCTCAGATGTCCCTTAGATGTTCTCATATCTCCTTGAATTGCTTGGGACTCCTTGGATCACATGGAAAGTTATCAAGAATAAAAAATATCCTTATACAAAAAGCAACTAGATTTAACACGGCTGAACAGAAAGAGCTCAAAGAGCTAGAGCCAAAAGTTTGCCATACATAAAAAGTTCTCTTAACGTCCATTCTATAGAGATGAAGGCCTACCAGTTATTCTTCTCCATCTTATCGTGTTAATTCGTAATCGGATATTAGTGATCACGTGAACTATCATTACTTTTATTTGTAGCTGTCCGGGAGTCGCCATGCTGTTGGGAATCGAGTTCTTAAGTTTTTAGTCACGAAACGCGTCGTCTGGCGATTCAACTGTTTTCCGTCTTCTAAACTTTGGTCTAGTCGCTTGAAGGTCTCCGCGTGCTAACCCTATCCGAGATGGGCCGGCGGCGGTGCCCAAAGCTGAGCGTGATAAAGACAAGGAGCGAGATCGATATAACTCTTCCTGCCGCCGTACATTTCGGCGTCGCTGGCGTCGGGCATCATTCTCGTGGGGTAGATCTGTATTGCTGCGTGGGGTGGCAGGGCTCAAGATGCCTGTGCCTGGTTCTACTCCAGACCCACGCGCGCTCCGGTGCCGTTTGTGCCGTGGGGTCGTTTGAGGGATACAGGGTGAATGGATAAACTCAACCACTCTATGCGAACAGGTTGAACCTGTCAGATTCTATGCTGCTGAAACTGATCATAATTTTCTCAGGATAGCTCGTTTGTCATGATCATGGATAACGTTGAGACCACAACTAACTAGGCATGCCAGATGGCCCGGAAATCCGGGATTGTCCCGAAATTTAGCGTCTTGCCCCGAGTCCAGTAATAAGACTTCACTGTTCCGCGGATTCCTAGTTTTTTCACAAAATTATTAAACTTGCCACTACACTTAATTTTTGTTTCAAGATAACTCGTGTTGTTCTTGTACTAGAGTTTACCTTATCAATTAGCTATAAGGTGATGCTTAATTTTCGTTTTCAGTTTATGGTTGCTTGATATTAACTGGCGTCACTTTTTCACAAAAGTTTAATTTAATAATTAAAATAAAGCGCTGTGTTAATGTTTTTTTTATTTTCATTATATAAATAACGGGTGATTTTTTAAGAGGTATAGGATTTGATTTTCAAAAAATACACAAAAAATTTGAAAAAACGATTAAATCTTTATTTGAGTCGATAGAACGGTCTATATAATTTAATGTTTGAAGATTATTTCATGTAAATGTTGGCCGCGGCTCCGCTTTAGATGGCCCATGCGCAAGGTCCAATTTTGGCACACTCTCTCCAACATATCGGCCGGTATCTCACGAATAAATGCTTCAGTATTGGCTTCCAGAGCGTCAATCGTTGCTGGTTTATCCCTGTAGACATTAGCCTTAACATGGCCCCACAAGAAATAGTCCAACGGCGTTAAATCACACAATCTAGGCGGCCAATTGACGGGCCACAAACGTGAGATAAACTGTTCACCGAACTCGCCTCTCAATAGGGCCATTGTTTCATGTGCGGTGTGGCATGTGGCACCGTCTTGTTGAAACCACATGTCAGCCAAGTCCAGCTCTTCCATTTTGGGCAAAAAAAAGTTTGTTATCGTCGCACGGTAGCGCTCGCCATTCACAGTTACGTTCCGGCCATTGTCGTCTTTGAAGAAGTACGGCCCGATGATGCCACCGGCCCATAATACACACCAAACAGTGATTTTTTCGGAATGCATTGGTAGCTCTTGAAATGCTTCTGGCTGGTCTTCACTCCAGATGCGGCAATTTTGCTTGTTACTCATTCAACCAGAAATGAGCTTCGTCGCTGAACACAATTTTTCGATAAAAATGTGGTTCTTCCTCCAACTTTTCCAGCGCCCAGTCACCAAATTGGAAACGTTGTGGGAGGTCGTGTGGCTTCAATTCTTGCATCAGCTGTATCTTATAAGGTTTTACACCCAAATCCTGTCGCAAAATTTTCCACATAGTGGAGTAACAGAGGCCCAATTGCTGCGAACGGAGGCCAATCGACATTTCACGGTCATCACTAACACTGGCGGATGCAGCCGCAATATTTTCTTCAGTCCTCACTCTACGTCTGCGTGTTGGTGGTTTAACGTCCAATAATGTAAACTGGGTTCGAAATTTAGTCACAAGCTTTCGAATAGCTCCCTCAGTAGGCCGACCAAATTGCCCATAAATTGGAAGCAGTGCTCGATGCACGCTCTTAACCGAGCATGAATTTTGATAGTAAAATTCAATAATACAAAGATGCAAAGGCTTTATCGTTATGGCGGCGAGAAACAGGACCAAAAAAGAATATAGGGGTTTTAGGGGGTGGGGGAGGATTTATCTCAATTTTTTGACGTTGGTATAAGCACATATTAGGCATATTTGACTCATCATAGATGTCCCGGCACATTTACCCTTAAAACTTAGAAATACCTCCTACAGCCGGTTGTCGATTCGTGCGACGTCATCCCTCGATGGGCAAGCGATGTCATCGGTGGTCGTACGTCATAGTCGGCACCCGCTTATAGCAATGTTCCTCTCAGGTGGAGGAGGAAGGCCATTTAATTTTTTTGTTATACATGTTCGTGGCTAACTTTCTTCTCAGAAGGGCTAACTTGTGTCAAATATAATCCTTCACGAGCTAATGTTAGCGTAGCGTTCGAAGTGCAGAGTCAACATATATAGCTATAGCTACTTTTATATACTCTAGGAATCGAGGAACATTGACTTTAAATAGTTTTCAATGTATGGAATGCTACTGCTCAAAGAAGGTGGAGCCCGACTATTCCAACATAAGAAATAAAGAAAGAGCTGTATCCCTCCGACCACCTGTCGATGCAACAGAAGCTTTGAAACTGTAAGGTAAGTTACTTCGTGACGTAAGAGACTACAAAAAAATCTGTGAAATTACGGCGTAACTCGATTTTAGATTATTTGTCATTTACGCCTGTACAAAATGTTTTCTAAAAATGATCAGTACCCTCCAAAATGTCTTAAAACGAAGTTTGAGCATTTTTTTTGTTTTTGATCTTTTTTCCGCCACCGCTAGACCGATTTTCAAAAACCGCAAAGCTTTTTCGTCCTGGGCATAGTAGTAATGTTGTGTGAAAATGTCATTAAAATTTTTCGCGACTACAAAACTTCGTCGCCAATTTTGAAATTGGAAGTAATAGAACATCATAATATATACATTCACGGGCAGTGTGAATTTATTTTTGGCAGAGCAACTGTTTCTATTCAATAAATGCATATTTGGATGCATAATTCTAGGTGCTTTAACGATGGTATGTCTTGTAACCATACAGTTTATCTGTTATAATGTTATAAAATATTTTTCTTTGTCCTGTAAATCATGTGCGACTTATCATATACTCGTACATCATTGTGTCTTTTGGGTAAGTAAAATACATACATATAGATTATTAACTGCAACTAAGCAGTTACGTCATATTTAGTACATGTGAATGCCAACTTTAATGCAAAATAGATCCTAAATTGGTAGGGATAGTTTGAACTCTCCGGGTACATTTATGTTGGTAACAGTTTTTACGCCAACGGTTGTTGTTTATTTGTGGTTTATTTTCGTTCTTTTTGCCTCAATATTTGCATTGTTATTTTATAAAAACAGTTTTTTTCAAAACCTTGAGGTGTCCTTTTAAGCATTTTGCTAAAATGCCGAAACCTCCGAGTCGGCAAGCAAAAGAATTCGTCATTGCTTTGACGAAATATTTTGAGATCGAACGAGATCATGGAGCACCATTATTGCCTTTACAGTCCGGTATTAGGTGGCTAGCTCTAGCGTTTATAAAACATGCGCTCCGTAATGTTGATTGCGGTAAGGCATCGAAGACATAAAGTATATTTTGTAAAGCGTCCTAGGATCTAGTAGCTTTATTTAATGTGGCAACCATGTACGTCACTGTCATTATTTGATGTTGTGATGTAACTGCTTTGATTCAGTGAATAAACTATACATATGAAATGTGAACATCAAGGATGACAAAAATGCTGCACTATACGAGCCCCTTCCCACTTCAGTTGGCCCACTTCACGATTTGTACCAAAATATGCCTTTATAAACTAAACATGACGAAACTATTTACTTCTAAAACAATTTATTTTCTCAAAAACATTATATTTGAAATCACTTAGACCTATAACTTATAGAACATCTGAACAAATAAACAATGTGCGAAGTTAACAAAGCAACAATTGAAAGATTACCATTGGGTAACATCACCTTTATTTTTTATTACGGCTGAAATTCTTTAGTGTTAACCAAGTTTTGGCAAAAATTTGGTGTAAAACAATTCCATATTCCTTGAAGCTTTTGTCTCAGTTCGGTGATTGTACGAGCAGGATGTTGTCGTAGAACCTTTTTCATCTCGTGTCACAAAGTTTCAATAGGTGACAGATCTGGACTGCTAGAAACCCATTTCAAAAGTGGTACATTATTTTCTTCCATCCATTTTATAGCCTTTTTTGAGGTATGGCACGCTGCACCATCTGAAACACAAAATCTTGGCCGGATGTCAAACATTCTTCCATCACTTGTAGAAGCGATTCTTCTAAAATTGCCAAATATTTGTTTGTATCCACATTTCCATCAATAAAACGAAGTTTTTCTACTCTTTTGATGACATAATGCCCCAGACCATAATGGATGCTGGAAATTTCACTTTTCTCTTCAGACAGTCAACATGAAATGCTTCATTCTTTTGCCATTAACTCTACTGCGACTGTCACCACCACAAACTTCAAATCGGGCCTCATCACTCCATTGTATTGCACACCATTGTTGAGGTGTCCATTGTCTATGTTCTTTAGCCCATCTAAGCCGATTTTTCTTTTGCAGTGGAGTTAATAGTGGCTTTTCTTTGGCCTATAGACAAGTTGTGCAACTTTAGGGTTTTTACTTCACTTTTTTTTTATAAGAAAACTTACCTTGCAAGTGCTAAATCCCAGTTTGTGGGCCTCTCTATGAGTTGTGGACCTCGAAATTGTCCTTCCAACAGCGTCACTCTACAGAGCACTTAATTGTAAATAATTGACACGCCTGTTTTTCTCGATTATTCTTCTTAATGCTCTTCAGTCGGCATTTGTGATACTACTTTTTTTCACATATCATGGCTTAATATTAACTGAACCAGTTACGTTATATCTTCTAACAATATTTCTCACACTGTACCACGATAAGTCTAACAAAGTTGCAATTTCTGAGTTTGACTCTGACAGCTGTGATTAATCAAAACATTTATCATGGCTTTTATTTTTCACATCCCCCTATGCGTTATAGACTTATTTTGCATTGAAATGAAAATAGGTTGATATGCTGTAATTGCAACATGTGTTATTTTTATGCTGAAAATTTGATTAGGGAGTGATAAAGTTGGTGTTTTCTACTATGTATTATCAAAATATTCATTGTTAATATTTTAAACCTATAAAACCCTGCTACATTTTTATTATTTCTGTTTGATAAGAAAAAAACTAAGATTTCAATAGTTGGGCCAACTGAAGTGGGAAGGGGCTCGTAGTACTTTTTTGAATGCCCATGCATCAGTATGGGCACGACGAGAAGGCTTCCACTGGTCGAGATTCCGCAACCTCTAGCCACGTGTTGTGTCGATCGAGCAAAAAAAGGGGAAAACAAACCCCGTTCGCCAGATGACATGGCACGACACCCTTTTCGCTTTAACTTAATAATTCGCTCTCGAATTTCCGAAAAGTAAAAAGAAACGGTGTGTGGTGGGTTCTACCTGAAAGGTGACGCGTGTCCTAGCGCCCGCTGTGTACGGGCGCCCACTGACCTTGTTTTTTCTTTGGAGAAAAGAGGTAAAAAAACAGCCGGCGCACATGTTGTGTAGCAGATAGCGGTGCGTGTGTGGGTGCCGTTAACCCTTATCCCCTGCGAGCTTTTTGCGGGACTGCCAATAGTTTTAGATGCGCCCTTTGGCTTTTGGTGTGCTTGCATCAACGACGATGGAAAAACATTTTTTTCATGGTCGTGCAGCTTGCATTGTTTTTGTTCACCCGCGCGACGGATCCGGAACGCTGCAAAATAACTCAAATGTTTTTGGAGATATTTAAAATACCTTTTTTATAGAACAAGTTCTTTTTTAAATATCCATATACTCTTATATTGATTGTCTAATGAAAACGAAATTTGGCGTTAAGTATCATTCTTGGATATTGTGAGTATAAATAAAAACCTAACTCATGACTACATAAATGAGACAGAGCAGCCAAAAAAAAAAATAGGATCCTCTACAACATGTGTGTGTCAAAAATTGTCGGAAACATGGCAATATCTCCATATTGGGAGTTCCTGTATAGGGAGCGGCAACATAACTTAATTATTTAAAACATAATAAAACCCATTGTATGATCCAGAATGTTTTCATTTATTTTTCATAATGTAGACGCACGCATAAGTCTTTATTTTACATAGTTTTGAAAATCAAATCAGATAGGTGATGTCATCCATGATCCATACACACAGCAAATCGATTTCTGACGTTTACCATTACTCTTACCAGCATAGCAGGTATTATGTTGGCAATTTATTCACTTAAACTCGGGGTTTCAAAAAACCCCATAGAAAAAAATCACAAGGGGCCAAATGGGGACAGAGCGGACCAGCCACTCCAAATCACCGCCAATTGAGATGAGGTGCTCTGGGAAGTGTTCCTTTAGAACATCCATCGATGCTCTTGAAGTATGTGCCATTCTACCGTCTTGCTGGAGCCAAATAAGTCCCACTCATCTAGCAGTGGAAAAATTTACATGCTTATATATACCTTTCATCAAAGAAACAGTGACCAATAATTCCAGCTGAGAAAATTCCACACAACACAGTAACTTTAGGCAAATGTAAATGACTTTGATGTAATTTTCAAGGATTGGTGTCAACCCAGTAGCGCATGTTTTGTTTGTTGGCGGACCCTCACAAATGAAAATAGGATTCATTACTAAAAAAAAAACAATAGCGTCCTCAGAAACGACTTCTCGAGAAGACGCTCACTCGCGATCATCCGAGAATTAAAGACACGTTCAGAAAGTTCCTGCGCAATTGTTAGCTTGTAAGGATGTAAATACAGATCATCATGGAGAATTCTCCTCACAGAACGATTGGAAAGTCCAAGGGCAGGCGCACGTTTGCACGCAGAACGCTGTGATGATCGCAACATTGAAGCTCTCGCTATCTCAATATTTCCAGGTGATCTAATGGACCGAGGGACTCTAGTATAACAATTGATTTTCGCTCCGGGCCAAAAAACCGACTCCGAAAGGCGCGCTCGAAAAGTAAGCATCAATGGCAAAATCACGCTCCTCACTGTTTCAACGCATGATGGCGACTGAACTGTGTCGAGACAAAATTGTATAGCCGTAATGGTACGCATTCTAAAAAAGGAAGTTATGCTGTCGCACCCTGTATTTGGAACTTTTCTTCAAAAGACATATAGTAAGAATAAGCAAATTTTCCTAGTAATGCGTACATCAAATCTTTAATCAAAATAACCGGGATGTTAGGTACCGGAAAAATATGCGAGATCAAATGTGGCCCCGCCTCCAGTAAGATGCACCGAAATGTTTGTTTACAAATCGGATTTGATAAATCTGGAGACTGACCGATATACGATTTTCGCCGATACCGATATAATTAACCGATACCGATATACCATAGGCCTATATAATGGCGTTATTGGCCTATCGGTCCGTCAGAAAAACGTGCAATACCTATAGTATGTTAGAACTACCACGTGTTTAGCAACCCGAGAGACCACAGACGCAGTTACGGCTTGGCGCGTTGCTATCGGCGCACTTTCTCTGGTACACATTACCTCGTCAGTGATATCTGGATCTCTCTGTATAGTTGGCAAGTAGGCTTGTATAAGGTTAAGGACTGGTAACCACACACGTAACTGAATATTTGACATACGTAATATGCCAAAAATCTGCCGATATAAAAGGTACTTTTTCCTAAAATAAGATTTTATGAATAAATGCCAGTAGTGCAGAGTCAACTTACTTATGTTACTTATTATCACATAGATAAGTACTAAAGTGCAATCATTAAACGACTCTGGTAGAACTGAAGACTGAAAATGGCTGCTAAGTTTCGTTTTATCATATGGGTAACAAAAGTTGTGTTTTTCTTGAATTTAATAATATTAAACGTTTTTAACTTTGTGATTTACGAGGAGGTACCCAAAAATAACCGGAATAGCATTGCAGTGGGCGGAGCTTGTGTAGTACACATTTCCGCCCCTAGAGGCGTTTCATGCTTGTCTCGTTTTTTACGATGGCAAGCTTCAGTGAGCAACGTGCAGCTGTGAAATTGTGCTTTCTAATTGGTAAAAATGCGGCTGAAACTGTTTTAATGTTGAAAATAGCTTAGAATGATGATGCTATGGGAAAAACTTAGGTATACGAGTGGTTTGCTCGATTTAAAAATGACGACATGTCGATTGCTGACAAATCTTGCACTGGACGTGCATCCACTTCCCGAATTGACGAAAAAGTTGAAAAAATTCGAGAGCTTGTGCTATTTGGAGGTGTTAAGACGATTGCGAAACAATGTTCGGCACAGCCATCTCTGTTCGTCAGTTTCTGGCAAAAAATGGCATGGTTCCGCTGCCGCACGCACCTTATTCGCCTGACCTGGCTCCATCCGACTTTTTCTTATTTCCACGGATGAAAAGGGGCATGAAAGAACGCCGCTTTGACGATATTGAAGAGGTCAAGGAAAAAACGAGGGAGGACATTTCTAAGGTAGACTTCAAAAAATGTTTCGAGCAGTGGAAGCACCGGTGGGGCAAGTGTAATAGTTGTAGTGGACAGTATTGTGAAAAAGTTGAAAATAAATAGCTTTTAAAAAATAATTCCGTTTTTTTTTGGGTACCCCCTCGTATATAGGACAGCCTTTATCCGTTTACGGGCAGTCATATTGGCAAAATCGGCTGATATTGCCGATATAATAATAATAATAATAATAATAATAATAATAATAATAATAGTAATAATAATAATTGTATTTATTTGCTCCTAAATATAAAGAATGAGTAAACAAATTTGAAGTAACGGCCCATAGGAACCATTGCCTGTACCTGAATCATTAATGCTGCAATTGGACATATTATTGAAATATGAATAGATATACAACTAATCATCCTCTTATTTGATATTCACATTTACCATTAATTTGTGTACGTCTGGTCTAGCCAAAGAAAAACTCCATTCTTTCAGTTTTTTCTTGAAATTATTCCCAATCATAGTATTTTCTCTCCTTCAGAAAGGCTGGAGAATTTCTAGATTTCTACTATTTCGTTTAATTATGTTTTCTTTTTGAATTATAGGAAATTTTAGGCTGATAAACATATGA